ACAATTAGTCATTTTATACATTTCGGTATAAAATATATAAAAAAATGTTTGTGTTTGTATAAAATGAGAGAAAAATGTATATACAAATACAAATACATATATTTTCGTCCTATACACTTATAATTATACAAATACAGATTTTATTATACAAATTACAATGCATAAATGAATTTATACAAAACTGAACAATTTGTATAAAATTGGATGTTTGTAGTGAATTATACAAATCAAAAGTTCCATAGAAAACATAAAATTTGTTATGGAGCGCAATTATGCAAACTATAGCTATAACATACAAATATAATTTTTGTGTTTGCTATATGTGAAAGTTGAAAATTGAACTCATCAAAACCGCGTGTACTTGGAATCCCTTTAAAGTCGTAGCGCGCGAGCTTTGAAATGAAACTTGAATGCATAAAAACACACACCACCAACCCAACAGGTGTGATGGTCATGGATAATTAGAATTTCTTCAGTCTTTTAACATAGATCTTTCATTCGAGCGTTGTAAATATTATAAATTGTCTTGGTACAAGCATTATACTATCTTTAACGAGTCAACTTGCATGCTACGAATCTAAATTAGTCATGTCCGATCATGATATTTACGGTTCAAAACTACACTCTACTTCACACATGATATAATATATATATAACAAGATTGTTTTATGGAAAAATTATGACCAAAAATGTAATTTTTCTATTTAAAACATTTTTTCTCCTTTTAGAAATATTAATTGAAGCAAGAGTACTGTTTGTTAATTATGTCTTAACATTTTCGGATGAATTAGAAAGTCACTGTTAACGAATTTCAAAGTCCTAACTTAACTAATTTTTGGTGTTGCATTTATAGCTTTGAGATATGAAAATCACTTCTAGAGCTACATATTTAACATGTTTAATTTTATAATGTGAAATCCTTTTTACATAGATCGAGAATTAGCTCTATTGACATGAACTCTTTTGTCATATTTTTTAGATCATCGAACCCAAAAAAGGGATGAAAAAAATAATACTTTTATTTTTTATTATAGTAATAAAGGATTGTACTAATGCTACTCAGTAGAACATTTATTAGTACTAATTACTATTCTGGCAATTTGTAGTTAAGTCGGGTTGGCAGAATTTTGTTCCACCTCTCTATCTAATCTTCCTCCAAAAAAATAATTTCGTATTTTTTCTCTTGATATGAGTGGAGATAAAAAAATTATTCTGCATATCTATGGAGTTTTGAAAAATTTAAATTATTAGTCTGAATACTCATACAATAGAATCGACATTCATCTTTTCTCAAATTGTATTCGCAAATTTTCCCGCACAAAGCTCTCCAAGTACGCCTCCTTTATAATGAACCCTAAAATCTACCGTATAAAAATATCCATATTGGTTTGCTTGCATTTTGAAAAGTTAATATACGTTCGAACCATCAACTCTCTTTGCTAACCTAAAGTAGACTCGTAGGCCTGGCTCTTTATTATTAATATTAATATACATATAGTGGTCACACACACTGCATTGTATTTGTATTCATTAATTATAATTATTATTACCTTGTACTGGTGGTGATTTATTATTTTATTATTTCTCATCATGAACGTGTCACTAGCTACTAGCTGCATAGTTGTTCATGTGCAATGCTCAAGTTTCTTTTAATTATAACGTATAGGCTAGGGCCGCTACAACCTTGCAGAGTTGTGGAATTTAATGCAATATTCACTCGGCAGATTTTAGGACCTTTTTGGAATTTAAACAAACCTTTTATATCTCATTGTGATCATTTTTATTTATTTAGTATTGACTTGACACATTTCGTAAGGAGCAATACGATAAATTTAGCATATCACTCTTTAAATATAATAAATTTAGATGAAATCTGAATGACATAGTTGATTGGTTACATGAACTTTCACTTTAGAAGCTTGGGTTCAATTCTCTATTTTATAATCACTTCCCCATTTTCCTCTTATCCCACCCATATTTATTTATTTTTAAAAAAAACAATAAATCTAATGTTTTCCATTATGGACTATAGTTAATTATAAGAGTAAATTAGAAACTAAGTAATAATTACCTCTTAATTCTTTAAATTAGACTAATAATTAGTAAACATTTATTTAAAGTATAAGGAATAAGTAAAAGTAAATTGAGAGAATCATAGCTATAATCTAGACTTGATTTAAAAAGTACATTAAATATGTTTTGGTTTATTTTTCAAAAGGTGATTAACTAACGCAACTACACAAGTATTACACTTTTACCTACAACAAAAGTAGAAATTAAATAGTATCTTTTTGGTATATTTTTAATAATTTTCCATATATGGTTAGAAGTCGAAATCCCAATCCCACTGCGGCTAAGACTTAAAAAAAAAATAATCTAAACAAACAGGATCAGTTTAATACTTGTAATAAGGATGGCACTGTTATTAAACCTCTTAAACAAAGTGTATCAGAATTATGAATTGCCAGTGTTTTCATTCTGTATTTGTGCGATGTGGATTAGGAGAAGAAGGCTTTCATTACCAATTTCTTCCCGCCACGCGCTGCCTTCCGTACCTAATTTCAGCAGCCGGCGAAGAAGATAATTATGAGATTTTGATTTTCATTGAAGGAAGCGAAAGCGGAAAATCGAGCATTAATGAGGAGAACGATTGCGCCATTTGTTTTTAAAGGGGGAAAGATTCATACGGTGTTGTACCCATAAATTCCACGTTGATTGCATTATGCTTTGCTTGGTAAGTAGTATAAATAAAACTTGCACGACTAAGGTTTTATTCTGTTTTAATTATTATTTTTTTCACTTCATTTTAATTTTTTTGTTACACACGCATTAGAGGCGAATTAAGTTGGGCAGAGTTGTTTGTTATACGGCATATTGCACATAGATCATGTAATTATTGAGTTTTTTTTTTTTTTTTTTTGTTTAATTAGAAGGATTCATGTGATTTTGACTTTCGTTATTCAGTTAATGAGTTCTCTAGCCTTTTAAATTTACACTTTAATTCTCTTTGACTTTACTTCTTGTAGAAATTAGTGATTACCTAATAATAGGGGGTTGTTTTACATGAATGTGATGAGAAATGGATAATTTTGAATTTTTTACTATGTGTGTTTTATGAGTAAAAATTTAAATTTAATATGTTTTGACACATGAATGATACTTTTGATCTTAAATTTTTATCCATAAAATAAATGGAGGTCAAAAATTTAAATTCGTAATTTCTAATGTTCAGTTTAGAATTTAGTAGCCTTTTTTTTTTTTTTTAAACAACAATGTAGATTCTATTTCAAAGCAAAAGGTTACAGAGGAGGACCAAACCTTACCTCATACAAGAGTAGCTAGAATGGTAAGCCATTCTTACAATTTTAGCTTCCAAAAATAAAGCAAAAGAGAATTTAGTAGCCTTTATTTCATTTATGTGTAAGAATTTAAACTTTTTTCTTGTAGTTTCAGTTTTGTTGCTTTAATTAAAAAATTACCTTTAGTATACGATTTAGGTTGATTTCAGAGATAAAATTAGTCTATAATTGAACACTAAAACTTTTATATCATACACAATGCCTAAAATATATAGTAGAAGTTTATATGCTAACTCATATCATATTTCTATTGATTCGGCATAACATAAGATACACATATTTTTTTATGGACCGGTTACTTCCCAAGATGCCAGGGAATTTGATAATTGCAAATTTGAGAAGTAAAAAAGTAAATAAAAAATACCAAAGTAATTCATTATGTTTTTGGATCAATATTGATGCATCCAAAAATCCAAAGCTCGACGTGCAGCAAAATTATACGTGGATCATGATATTGATTTGCAACATTCTCTCACCCATTTTTTTGAAAAGAATAATAATAAATCTAATGTTTTCAGTTATGACTATAGTTAATTATAAGAGTAAGTTAGGAACTAAATAATGAATTATCTCTTAATTCTTTAAAATAAATTAATAATTAGTAAACATTTATTTTTAGCATAATGAACTAGTAAAAGTAAATCGAGAGAATAATAATCTAAACTAGATTTAAAAAGTACAATAAATGTGTTTTGGTTTATTTTTCAAAAGGTAATTAACTAACGCAACTACACAAGTATTACACTTGTACCTACAACAAAAGTAGAAATTTAATAGTATTAGTACTAAATATTGACTATATACATTTTTTTTACAAAAAACTAACTTTATCTGTATCTTTTTCATTTGTTTTTAATTACTCTCCATATATGGAAGTTCGGAGTTAAAGGGGTAACTTTTTTCCTCTAAAAAACATAAACAGTATATCAAATTTTTTTAAACCAAAAAGGTAAAATCGCTACTGAGAGAGCGATATATTTTAATGCCGTATATGTTGTTAAAAACTTTATTTAAAGTTATCCTTAGAAAAAAAAAAAATCTTAACTCGCTGCTTCAGCAGCGTTTTTGCAATAAAAAATCTCCAACTTGAATTCGCTGCAATGGCAGCAATTTTCCAACTTTAAAAAAAAAAAAAATCTTAACTCGCTGCTTCAGCAGCGTTTTTGCAATAAAAAATCTCCAACTTGAATTCGCTGCAATGGCAGCAATTTTCCAACTTTAAAAAAAAAAAAAATCTTAACTCGCTGCTTCAGCAGCGTTTTTGCAATAAAAAATCTCCAACTTGAATTCGCTGCAATGGCAGCAATTTTCCAACTTTAAAAAAAAAAAAATTATCTTTGCTTTGGCAGCAATTTTCCGTAATGTTTAAAGAAAAAAAAAATGGATAAGGCAGCCGTTTAAAGGATTCTAAGAGGATAATTAAAAGATCTAGATTTTCTTTGTCAACAAGTGATTCACTTAATTAGAGACCTAGGTTGTTTCGAGTGATAAGATTAGTCAATAAATGAACAGTAATTTTTTAAAATCAGACCGTGACAGACACAATATCTAAAATAATAGAAGGTTATATGCAAACACATATTATATTTCTATTGATTCAGCATAACAGAGGATACAAATATATTTCTATGGATCGGTTACTTCCCAAGATGCCATGGAATTTGATTATAGCGATTTAGCTTATTGATTATGATCAAGAGACACAAAGTGGACAAATACGTAGACCATGCCATTGCAAATTTGAGAAGTAAAAGAAAAAAAAAATTACAGTTACTCAAAAATCCTTAAAGGTTGAAGTTATCAAATTTTAAATCCTAAATTCGCTTGTACATGTGTGGATTAAGGCGAACCATTGTTGGACTGAGAATTGATAGGAGAAGCGCAACAACTGCAACAAGATCCTGGTGGTGGAGGTTGGCAACATACACAAGCAGGACATATTGGTCTCCTCACAAGTACTTCTACATAATAAAATCCGAATTACGCAAAAAATATAAATGAACAAGCAAAAAGAAGAAAAATAATATATTTTTGATGTATAATATGTATGATTAATTACCTCTATACACGTTAGAACGAGCAGCAACACCTTCTTGGAATCCAGGAGATAAAATTAAACCAATAAAAACAAGGGTTATGAGCATTAAACATCTTGGAATTATAGTTCCCATTGAAATTTTAGATGAATGAACAAATACTAGGAGTATATTTTATAGTGAAAAATTAGTAAAAGGGAAATTGATGAAGCTTTGAAAAAATTGAAATAATGTGTGTTCTCACTCAACAAACTCAAGGTTGACTTGACTACAAGTTAATTTGATTAGGGGTGAATCTGTTCAACTTAATTAATTTGATTTGCTATAATTTTATATGCAATTGGAGAATTTCTTAGCTTTATCTTATTAAATAATTGAAAAAAGTCAGCAATTGCGACTGCAAATTTAGAATCTGTCTGTTAGTTTAATTTGTTTGGGCAGATTTTCAACTCTTTGAATAGTACTCTGATTTATGCTGCTAAAAATTTCCACGCCAATAGTTGACTTTTTTTTAAAAAAAAAATAATCTGAAATATATCCAAACTTTGATCGAAATTGCAGTAATAATACCAAATTTTGGAAATGACATTTTACCCCTCACACTATTTAATAGTATATTTTAAAGATATATATATGCCCACGTGGACATCATAAATATTGCATAATTATAAATAATAATGTGTCCACGTGGGCACATATATACATTTTAAATACACTATTAAATAGTGCAGGGATAAAAGGTCATCCATAAAGTTTGGTATCGTAACAACAATTTCGACCAAAGTTAAAGTATTTTTCAGACCCTTTTCCCAAAATAATAATAATAATAATATAAGCATTGATTACATAAACTTGATCAATTTTAATCCATTATCCTTAAAAATAAAAATAAAAGGAGACAATTTGTCAATTTCTCCTTATATAATTCTTCGATCATTTTGCCCCGTGGTGGTGGTGGAGGGTTTCGAAGAATGTAAATCAAATGAATTATGATTCGAATCCGTAAGTTACAATGTCATTTCTTTTTGAATTGGCGGAGTGAAATCCATTCATTTTACGCTGGAACATTAATAATTGCAAATACAATAGGAGTATGAAAGAAAAAAGAATTAAAGCAACAATAATTTTAAACAGTACATCTTACCCAAAAAAAAAATATATTTAGTACCTAGCGAACAAAACACCTTTTTTTTCTTCATATTATTATTTATTTTTATAGAAGCAATGTTATTCACAAAAACAAAAATTCAAATCACCCAAAACACATTGCCAAAAACATTAATTACAGGACCAAATTATTTTCTTTTTATGTAGAAATGATCACACAATGTCTCTGATCTTCTCATCATTAATTTGCTTGATCACGGCCGGTCCACGGCGGCCGTAAACGGAACGAAACAAGCGCAAACGCAACACGACGGCGTATTTGGTTGGCAACAGTTGCAATTCTCACATTTTGGTTGCTTAACCCCAAGTTCTGCATCAATTCGTTAAATATTTATCGTCGTTTAGCCAAAAATTCTAATAAGAGGATTCAAAAATGAAAACGTTTCACTAAATTTTTTTCTTTATATAAAAACAACCTTTACCCTACATAGCTCGGACATAGGTTATTATAAATTAACGTTGTTCGATAGTAAATTACCTCGACGAGTCAGTCTATCGGCATTGCTGGGCACAGCCGGAGATAAAACAAGCATAAAGATGGTGATTGTAGCCAGAAGAGTTTTCATCGCCATTACCTTAGACTAAATTTTGATAAAGCTATGATAATGTTGTTAATTAAGCATATACTATTTCAATATAGTAGTTATATATATAGAGCTTGATGATGTAATAAGTTTTATATTTATAATTTGTTGCTTGATACAACAAGGCAAAAATCAATCACCACTTTTTAAAGTATACGATGAATGTTTTAATTAATTAATTATACCACCCTGTTGGAATTGTTTTAATAAGTAAATTAAACTTCTTTGATTAGTCTACCATTAAAAGTCTTTGAAACGAGATTAAAAGACAAGAAATAGTTTGGAATAGGCTTGGGGTCTAATGTTTACTCATATATTGCTCAACCTTCATAAGTCTTAGTATGTGGCATAACGCTTTCTCCAAATATTTTCACTTAACTCAAAAGAGATTCTTAGACCATGGTGATGTTAACAGAGGCGGACCCACCTCTAAGTGGGGTGCACGTGCACCCGTTAACTTCGAAAAAAAGCATGTATATATATATATCTATCTATCTTGAGAAACTGACAGAAATTATGATATAATTAATAGTGCACCCATGAAAAGCATAGGAGTGTTATTGTGCTACTGGTACAAGCTAGACAATCCACCCGCGAGACCTGGGTTCAAAATTTTAAGTTTATCTTATCTCATATTTGAGCTAAGGTAATATTGATGCATCCAAAATTTTCAAATCCTGAATTCGCCTCTGGTGATGTAGTCTAAAGTTCACTGAATTTGCGTTGGACGATAAAGTTCACAAATAACCACTTTTTAATTCTTGTAATTGAAAAATAACCACTATTAATCTGCGTTTGGACTTACCCAACTTTTGTCATGTCTATTGGAGTAGGAGCAAGAACAATAAGAAAAATGAAAAAAAGAAAGAAAAAATAACAGCAATGAGATAGATCTAGCTAGAAATACATTAATTGATAATCATCAACTCTATATATAATAAGCTTGCATATTCTTGACATATTGTCAATTTCCCCCCACATAGATAAAGTAATATATAATGAACTATATTCCAATATCTCATTGGTAATTACTAATTATTCTCCAATCTGAATTCATTCATATATAGAACTAATAATTAAGGATCATACTATGGATTATTATTATTATGAGACTGAGTAACGTAACAGGCACAATAACAACATGGTGGCGGAGGTACTGTTGATTGGCAACATAGGCATGGTGGACACTTTGGCTTCTGATAAAGTTCTGCAAATACATTCATATTGTAAATATATTGTTTAAATGAACTTTCCGTGCATATAACTTAAACTCAAAAATGTTCACGATAAATATTAGTAATTGGAAAGTATACCTCTATGGTTGATTAATCCTGCTTCTGTGCACGGAATCACGCTAGCATTTGAAATAAACATCACAGATATAACTAAGGCAATGAGATTGAGACCAGACCTTGATACAAAATAATTACTTGCCATTGTCTTTTTTAAGTGTTAATTTCTTCACATTGAATCAACAATAGCATCCTTTGTTTTATAGGTGCTCCATATGTACAAACAATTTATTACATGTCTTTGTTATAATTCCGCGTTAAAAATTGATCATATGAACTGACGATTGTTCTACTAGTACTATTTCACTTAGTTTCTAGAGAGTTTCAAATATTCACAAGTCTGCTAGCTAGTCATCGGATTATGTGCTTGGAATTGACTCTCAAGTCTTTTTCAAACAATTTAATTCTGGGTCTGAAAATTTACCAAGTCAGGTCATTTCTTAGGTAATTACAAATACAAATTTCTTCATCATCATTAATCAATATTCCATTCTAATAAAACAGTAACTGATTCCTTACTTATACTATTTCTTCATTCACTATTTCAAATAGAGATTTTCACTTGTCACTCGTAACATATCAAAAAAAGATAAAAAAAAAAAATATTCTTCATATTTTACCCTTAACGTTAATTATCTATTTCCTAAATTATTTTTCGATACTTAATACTACACATCATTAAAAGGGATATTGTGGTAAAATAGTCATGTCAATTGATTTTTTTTTTCTCTTTGGATGTATTAAGTCCAAATGTGATCAACAGGCCAGGACAACTTTCGAGTTTTGTCAAGTGTATGGAGAAATTAAGGTATGGTTGAAATACTGTTCAATAATTATTTTTTCAATGGTATAATAAATGCAATTCGACCTTTGAGCAGTTAGAAACTAAAGAGAAAGAATATTGCAATTGAGGGCCAAAATAAATGACTCAGCTGGTCATTGCAGATTTATAGACTTTGAATTGTTCTTCTGTAAACAGTTGAACTCCTTTTCTCCTTATTCTTTAGACTTTGAATTGTTCTTATACTTACGTAGTTATACTGCGCAGATACAAGTACTCGAGGAGACGAATGTGATATTTCTCTGTTTGAGTTCGTAGCAATGCAAATGTTTGAATGTGACTTCAATAAATTACTGTGTTGCTTGTTGTGTGCTTATACAAACTTCGCAATGAAGGCACAAAAATATAGAAATTATGAATTCATCAATAACTTCAGACTAATCATTTTACTTCAGATAACCTTGTCTAAATTTCTTGCTCCTATGCAACGGTTGACACACCACTCCCTTCTCATACCTTCATTCTCTTGGACGGGCCTTGATCAATAATAGGATCAATTGGAGGCGGCTGAGTCTCTGGTTGCTGGTTTTCAGAGGGTTCTGAAGTGGAAGGGGGTGCATAGCCTTCTGGGAAAGGTGGAGGCGGAGGTACTGGTGGTAGCTGCACAAATTGAAATAAGTGTCTCAATTTTAGAACTTGATCTATTGAATTTTAACACAAATATCCCCGTTAATGAACCCTGGGACTGCAAATAAAATTTCAGAATACTTCCAAGATAACTACTTCACAACTCAAATGAAGCTACTTAGCTTAAGATTGACGACCTCATACTTCAATGAATTGGACAAGATTAATTGGTTTATCTAGGGTTAAAAATCTCCATGCAGACCATACAAGTTCCGGTGATAAGGAATTACATTTACCTTCCGTTGTAGAGAAGCAAGGATGTGATCAACTCGCTTAAGTTCCTTGAAGTCGATGGCCTCTTTGGCGGGCTTAGTTTCAGATGCTTGGCTATCATTTTCCGACTCCACTGCAAAAGGAATTTATTGAATAGAATCAACGTAATGAAATAATAGTAAAAATGATAGAAATTGACATTGCAAGCAGAATGTAAGATTATTGATTTAAACAATATAAGATTTTGTGTCATGAGAGAGATGTAAGTCGAACAACGAAGACTTCTTTTTAGAACATATCCATGTATAACAATATATACACACTGCACACAGGTCCAACTTATCGAAAAGACATATAAACACACCCAGGTCTTAACTCCCAACTTTCAACCTGACAACTAAATGGCTATGTGTCGTAATCAGAAATTCAGTGTTAAAGTAGCCTTCAGAATTTTTTTGTTTTCATTCAAGCCCTTGAAAGGAACTAAAGAATAAAATAAACTTGTTGTCTACTACATCTTCACCTCTTTTTGGGTTGGGGTGGGTGAGAGTGGGGGAAGGGAGATTTGGGTGTTTGCATAACTCAAAACCCTTTCTTTGCAGATAGCAAGATAAAATTCTAGTAACGGCACACTTTTCTCCAAAGCACCCACGTGCACAAAAAAGGTTTTAAGGATGGAAAATAAAAGGAAAGAGATATCAAGATACCATATCCAATCTTTTCCAGCTTTGAGGATGCAGTACCGAAAGCTTTTGATATATGATATAGAGCACGCCCCTGTCAAATAAGTAAATGAAGACAATGAACATCAATGGTCTTTTACATTCCATCAATGAATTCTTCGACCCACACAAAATTAATATGTGGTATCCATACCGCAGAAAAAAGGGGACCAGTTTTCCACATAAAAGCAGAAGAGTACATCAAGCATATCAAAAGTTCACACATACTACCTGCTTTACACAATACTAAAGACAGATAAATAATTAAATACAGAAGAACAACATTTTTTTTTTTGAACTTGGTAACTTTGTATTATATCACAAAACAGTACATGGGTCGTACTGTAACCTTATATACAAGAGTACTCCTGATTTCACTTCTCTACGTCTAAATTGAGTCTAACACATCAATAATAGAGACAGTGTCATTAGAGTATAACTGATTACACCAAAAGACTAAAAGTAAAATGCAGTTTAGTTTAACTTTCTGCACATTGTTCTCTATGCTCTCAAAACATCTTGAATTCCTTTCTTTCCAAACAGCCCACCAGATAGCCCCCGGGATAATTCTCCATCTACCTCTATCCTTGGCATGTACACCTGCTTCCTCCCAGCATAGTAATGCCTCAGCCACCTTCCTGGGCATTGTCCAGGAGATGCCTTTGAGGCTTAGGAATATTCTCCACAGATGATGGGTGTACTTGCAATGTAAAAATAGGTGGTTAACAGTCTCAGATGTTTCACCACATAGGAAGCACCTAGAACACAAGGTTCTCCCCCTCTTCATAACATTGTCCTGTGTAAGGACTGCTTCCTTAGCCATTGACCAGACAAAAAAGGAGACTTTGTGAGGGATTCTGCTCTTCCATATTTGCTTCCAAGGCCAACTTGAGCACTGTTGATCTGTCTGATCCATCAACTTGTAGGATTTGTTGACTTTGAACACTCCCTTGTCATCTCCTGTCCACCATAATTTATCCTCACCTGGCTGTAGTCCCGTGAAAGTGTTCACAGTGTTTTAAGAATTCAGCAACTCTCACTATTTCCCAATCATTAAGGTTTCTTCTGAAAATGAAATTCCATCCTTGTGGTGACCAAAGATCTGCTATAGTACTTTGTTGAAACATGATTAGGTTGTAGATGTCTGGAAAGAGATCTTCCATGTTGCCTTTCTCATGCCAAATGTCCTTCCAAAATCTGGTCTTATTCCCATCCATTACTTTTGCCTTTGATAAATACAGAAGAACATTAAAAAACCAATGCTGATTTTCATTGCATTATCCCTCTAAAAAGTTTCCTCCCTATGAAATTTCTTAGATGGAATTCCTTGTTTTTTTTTTTGATGACAAGGAAATCCGCAGCTGCAAAAAGTAATGTTGCTACTCAGGTTTGAACCGAAGACCTTCACATGGAATTCCTGCAGTCTCTCCTTCAATTTCAACTTCCTTTTTTTTCTCTAATTCCTTCGAAATCCTATAAAATTGATAGAACTCCATCCACAGACCGAACCGCATTACCTAGCTGAGATCTAGAGATAGCTTACTGAATTTCTTCCTACAAAGAACCTAACATGTCATGCCTACTTCAAAAGTTCCTTTTATGAGTCAAAATAAGCAGTAATTAAAAATCAATAACCAGGAACCAGACCTTGGCGTGTATTATCTTTAATAACATCTGGTGCCACAAATGACTCACATTAAAAGCATATACATCAAAAGCAAAAATAACGGATCAACAGTGATCTTTCCTAAAGTACTACAACAGAAGACAAAGCTTCATTTCTTCACTGCACACAGAAGTTCAAGTGACTGAACAAAGCCATTGTTACCGTATACTCTCATCCATCCAGTCTCTCATCATGTTGTACACATAAATCCTTAGAAAGTCATGCTTTTGTTATTTATTGAGTTTTAAATAAGAAAAGAAGAGATCCTAAATTATTAAAATGGTACTATCTGCAAATTTTTTTTATGTTCATGAAGAAGTATTTATCTAACTCTGCTTTGGCGCTACGTTCACCACTCTCTGAAGGCTTCAATGCCCCTAGTTTTTTGCAAAGCATACAACAGTTCCAAAAGTAAAATTCCTTTTTAAGGGCAAGGAAATTCTTGCACACCTGGTATGGATCACTCGGAGGAAACACCAACAGAAAGATCAGATGTTCAGAATGTTAGCACCAGATCAAAACCAATCTGCCGCCAGGAGTATAAAATAGTTTTTTCCTGGATAAATCAATATCACATAATTATTGAATTTTGAACAATTACCTTCTAAGTGGTAGGAAGGGAAGTTTGTCAAGCGACGTAAGCTATTCTATACGGCGGAAGGGAGGATTTTCTTAGAAGATTTATCTTGAGTGCTCAGTCAAATAACTATCCTTCTCTGAACAAAAAGACAGAAGAAGGGAAGCAAAATATATTTCCTACCCAAGAAAGAGGCTAACTTCTTTGCTACTAAACTGCCCAGATTCTTAAGCTGAAAGATAAAGATTGCTACTCTTAGTTTGTCTAGATAATGGCATATAAGATACAGGTAGCAAAAGACAATTTAATGGCATCAAAAAGACTAGAATACTAACAAGTCGAGCTGCAAACACATTGCAGAGCTGTGGAGCTTGGTATATTGAACCATCCAAGATGTAATAAGTCAGCATTGGTGTGACCTTCTCAGGGCTATCCCTCTTTTGCTTACGGATGACAAAGAGATTAGGCTCCATTACTTCACTCAAAGTGTATTCCATGCCCGTCATTTTCCTACAAAACAAGTTGCATATTCAATTGCACAATTAGTTGTGCATGTCTCCATTACCTAATACCATGCATTCACATATGGTCTTGAAAAATCGAGGAATACTCATACCAATTAAGTCCTTGCACTTGCTAATGAACTTGTGCAGAATAACAAAATCATTAATTTTCCCCAAATACCAGTTGCCTCCAACTTGTGCTTGTGTCTATCAAACCTCTTCCAACATACTCTCCTTTCCCCAAATATCTAACCCTACCCCAACTGCAGAGCCACCTTTCGTCGGAAAATTACTTACACTGTTCAGCTAGGCTAAAATTTCCCCTTAATTGCTTTTTAAGTGTGTCTGCTTTTAATAAAATTCCTGGCTCAGCCATTGCCCGCCCCAAGAACTCCAAACTGATTGAGTAAATTTTGCATCTTCAATCTACCTTCTACCAGCAGAAAAATTAAAAGACAAGTTGTGAATTGAAACCCCAATAATTCAATTTCACAATGTCAGCAATTCTAACTGTACAATTCACAAAGATTAAAACTTCTTTTTGTTCGTTTTCTATAATTTATTCCCAACCCAATCATAATCTCAGCAAAAAAGGGGAAAATAAAAGAACAAAAACTAGGGAAAGAAATCATACGAAATATGAGAGAAATCCAGCGGGTGGATGGCGCGGGCACGGAGTTGTTCATTATTGCAGGTCCAATCGTAGAACGGGGAGAGTGCAAAATAGTCGAACACTAGGTTTCTGTCGAGCGGATAAGTATTCAGCCATAGCTGGTCTCTGAAGCATATGCTCGTCATGTCCGTCCCAGGTAGCGGTGGAGCCGCCGGTGCACTACCATCGGCGTTCGGCGGCATCATCGGCGTCGACGCCATCTCGCCCTTTGATTAACTTTACCAGTATTCACTACACGGTAAAGAAATAGCACTAGAGTAATAAACAACGGACAAAATATCAAATGGGATGGTCGTTATTTGGGAGGAAAACATTGGATGCTCGTAATTTACAGTATACATCTAAATTTAAAATTCAAAATATTAAATTAATTTAATTTAATTACCTTTAAAAATTAATTAAATGTACCGTCATAAAATAAAACATGATAAATAAACGTGAATTGAAGACAACAACTTTTTCTATTTAGTTTTGCTAGAGAGTAGTTTTTTCCGATTTCTTATTGGAGGTAAGTAAATCAACATTGCATAAATTTATGAAACAAAGAAAACTTTAATTTATTTTCAAAAAAGTGCTTAAAATAAGTAATTTTACAACCTCGGGAATAATTGCTATCATAACGTTTTACATATGAAATTCAAAATTCTATGATAATAGCTAATATTCATTCCGTTATAACTAAAAAGTGGTCAATTAACAATATTACTCTCTCCATTCATATCTTTTATTTTAAGTCAGGTCAGTTGAAAAATAACACTAATTATGAATTTTTGAATTCTAAAATATTAATTATTTTTTAAAATACTAAGCTAAAAAAATATGACTATTTATGAATTTACCCACGTTTTCTGACACGTCCTAATATATGGTTAATGAAATACTTTTGATTTATCAGAATAATTATAGTTATTAAAGTTAAGCATTCAAATCCTATAGAAAATTAATTTTTTCTCACCTAAGGGGTAGGGTCTTTCCTTCCCCAGAACCTTTTACCAACATAATTTTTCTCCAAAAATAAACAAATTTTACTCTCTGAATTTCCATCTAAATTCCACAAAATATATTACTACTAACAATTAATCCGTTATATTGTTAAGGCATTGATGTCTCTTGATGAAACCTGAGCAACTTTGTCTCTGGAGGTAAATATAATATGTTCGTCGCTAATTCCTATTTCTATTGATATTTTATGATTCAAAGGATGTAGATTAATTGACATTCATGTAGCATATAGCCATGAATTCTATGTATTTTTCAAGTATCTGAGAAATGCCTCATCGTGTTACCGCGAGGGCAAAATCATTTTCTTCTCAACCATCAATTGCTCAAAAATTAAAAGATGATCCTGTAGATCCTAAAAATGCTCAGGGTAGCGTTACATGTGTTTACCAATCTCATATCGGTGGATATTGGCGTAATGTGACTGTTATATGGAGAAAAAATATGATGAATCATTGCCTTACCATATCTGTTGATAGCGTAGAAAATGAAGATCATCAAACTTGCAAGATTGATCTAAAACCTTGGCATTTTTGGGCTAAAAAAGGTTACAAGACATTTGAGGTTGATGGACATCAATTGGAGGCTTATTGGGATTTAAGATCAGCAAAATTTTCTGGTAGTCCTGAACCATTTAAAGATTTTTATGTCGCGTTAATTGCAGAGGAAGAAGTTGTTTTATTATTAGGTGATTACAAGAAAAAAGCTTATAAGAGAACAAAATCAAGGCCAGCTCTTGTAGATGCATTGTTGTTTTACAAAAAAGAACATGTTTTTGGTAAGAAAAGTTTCTCAACAAGGGCTAAATTTGAAAACAATAAAAAAGAAAGTGATATTGTTGTAGAAAGTTCAACCTCAGGACCAAGAGATCCTGAAATGTGGATAAGTATAGATGGGATTGTTTTGATTCACATAAAGAATTTGCAATGGAAATTCAGGGGAAATCAAACGGTACTAGTCAACGAGCAGCACGTACAAGTGTTTTGGGATGTGCATTCTTGGTTGTTTTGTGAACCTGGTTCTACTCATGGATTGTTCATTTTTAAGCCAGGGGTGTCTGAATTGGAAAGTGACAGAGACGGAAGTAGCGTTGGAGGTGACAGTGATTGTAGCGATCATACTAAGTATTATTCAACGTTGAGTCACTCCAGAGCCTCGCCTTTTTGCCTTTTCCTGTGCGCGTGGAAGATTGAGTAACGATGAACAAGAGAATGAGAAAACACATAGGTGGTATGAAAGTCCTAATGTGAGGCATGAGCAGAGGCGGACCCAAAATTATGTAAATTTGATGAGTTCAACCTTCTCATAATTTAAATTTGTTGCTGTTTTAAGTGAAATTTCATGTGTATATTTATGTACTGTATCGAAAACGATTAGTTTAATTAAACTCATCAAATCCAAGGTCCGTTCGCTTTTGGAGAGGAATTGCTTCTGCATCAAAGAAAATTTCTTGTGGATTGGTTTGAGTAAGTTTATGGGTTTCCTTTTTATTATCCTTCTCCAAGTCTATGTGACTTTTGTAAGTTGTGTTCTGTATATTATTCAGCAATATGACACCAGTATTAGAAAATCAAATGGTTGACATTTTTTCGATGTCTTTTATTCAAATTTGGAGCTTGAAATCTCATGTTCCTCTGTCAACATGATCCATAAATTTGTTCATATAGTTATTATTTTAATCTCGCGCTATGTATGTATCTTTCTTATAGATGTACGTACATAAACCATCCGGAGTACTTCATGATTAAATTGATATTATCGTTTTTCATTGTCATTGTCACAATTTTTCCCTCTTGAAATACTTTAGACCAAGCAGTGGTTGACGTATTCAAATCTAAAAATATTTAGTTAAATTCTATCCTATATAGTGCTAATATTGAGAATTTTCTATTTGTGTAATTCAGCTTCTCAAAGAGAAACTGCAAATGGAGAAATCACAGATATTTTATTGGGATTTCAACTCCAAATCATGTTCTCAAAATAAAACGTTTACTTAGTCTCTTTTAGTTGACTAGACCAGGTCCCTGTAAACTAGTTATGATTGTTTTTTGGAATGTGCATGCTCCATGGTGTTGAAGGGGAGCATTGGAGCAACGACTATAGGTCACGGTTCGGGTCGTGAAAATAATCAGACTGTCTACATCATATTCATATTCTGAACCTTACAGAATTTTTTGTATACTGAGTAATTGCGCCTTTATATGCTATTTGGTGTTAGTTTACTGGTCTCTGTCTTCTTGAACAGTCACATTCACTCGCTCTTTAATAACTTTGATGCATTTGCTTGATGTCATTTAACAGAATTTTCTTACTTCATCAGAAAAAAGAATTTAATGGAACTTAATTATCAAGATTGTTATCATTAGAAAAGTCAATTTCTCTCACAAACTAGGCTTAATTATTTTAATCTTCACTTCACTTTCTGGCATACGATGGCCACTGATAAAAAAGAATGCGTAAGAATAGTTCCTGTACGGGACAATTCTAAAGTCGTATCTTTTGATTTCTTAACAAAACAATTAGTGACGCAACCTGAATTATGCATATAATTAAGCTTGTTAATTACTTCCTCTTCTAGTAATCAAGAATCTAGAGTACTTTTGGCTTAGGCTTCAACACTGAAGTAGTGAAATGATGAAAGACTTGATTTTTATCTTTCTAATTCTCTTTGCACTTGAAGCTAACGCCCAAATTGATGAATCAGGTATATATAATTTCGTCTTTCAACACATTTTTATTTTTTGTTCATTCCTTGTATGATTCTTAATTGAATGATATACTTCTAATATTCTCTCAGGATTCGTAAGCATAGACTGTGGAATTCCTCAAGGTACCGACTACACCGATATAGCTACTGGACTACAATATGTATCCGATTCAGGCTTCATCGATACGGGTAGTAATGCTTTTATCTCGAGTGAGTTCCAGGCCGATGGCCTGGAACAACAGTTGTACACCCTCACAAGTTTTCCTGAAGGAAAACGAAATTGCTACACCATAAGAATTCCACAAGGAAAAGGAAAAAAGTACTTGATCAGGGCTAGATTTTTGTACGGAAACTATGATGGAAAGAATCAACTACTGATCAATTTTGATCTTCATCTTGGAGTTGACTTTTGGGACACGATTCATATAGTCAACGCCTCAACTTCGATATATAGAGAGATCATACACATTCTCTCATCGGATTTTGTACACGTTTGTCTAGTAAATACAGGTCGAGGAACACCATTTATATCCGCACTTGAATTGAGACTCTTGAACTCAACCATGTATGTAACTGAATCCGGGTCACTACAAACTGTCACGCGGCTTGATCTTGGCTCAACATCCACTCAATTTGCACGGTAATCATTTGAAAATTGTATTAAATTCAGAATAGTTGATGTTTTACAAAAAAAACATGAAACGTTTGTTATATAGAGATTTGACTGTACTCTATTCGTGGTGATTTAGGTACAAAGATGACATGTATGATCGTTTATGGTTGCCATATAACGAGGTGGCAAACACGGTACAATTGAGTACATCTTTAACCATTGATGGCGGTCCGGTGAATAACAACTTTTTTCGACCACCGCCAAAGGTGCTGAGCACGGCAATAGCAGCCGATAACGACACTAGTGGAATATCATATTCGTGGGAACCTGCAAATTCAACAGATGAGAATTACATCTACCTGCACTTTGCGGAGATTGAAGCCAACCATGTGAATAGACAATTCGACATATATTTAGATGGAGAATTGTTTCAGACAGCATATGCTCCTTCCTATTTGTCCTCAAACACAATTTATTCAGGAGTGCCTATTACGCCAAGAAATACGCACCAAATTACCCTCAATAAAACGGGAAATTCGATCCGTCAACCCACCATCAATGCCATAGAGATTTATAAAGTGGTCAAACAAATCATAACCACTCAAACGAATGACCTAGATGGTAATTAAGTTTCTCTTCATTTATTTTTTTGTGATTATATATATCACCTGAATTGGTCGAATCTTTTTTTGATCCACTGTTTTCTAAAATCATTTTATTTTGAAAAGTAGAAATAGTTTGTCTTTCACCACAGAAATTTAAAAAACACTTTCGAGCAACAATTAGTGTTTGATCAAACTTTTAAAAAGTGTTTTTAAACTTCTGAAAAACAGTTTCTGTTGCTCTCTAAAATGACTTATTTTCTCCCAAAAGCTTGACCAAACACTCACTTTTTAAAAATTACTACTATTTTTGACTCCCAAAAACTTGGTCAAACAAGCTATAATTTGGACTATGCCCAAAGTTTGGATGATTTGAAAGGGTTATATATCGATGGATCACTAACATTTATTTTTGCTATTAGTCGAGGCTATTATGAATGTCAAATCGACGTATGAGGTTAAGAAGAACTGGCAAGGAGATCCATGCGGCCCTAAAGCTGATATTTGGAATGGTGTCACTTGCAATTTTGATGGGCAGCTCCCCACAATTATATCCTTGTATTTTCCTTATACTCTCAAATTTCTTCATTATAAACATGTTTCTTCTAATTTTGTTTTGGAGAATGAAACTAACTTATAGTTAATTTGTTGAGTAGAAACTTATCTTCAAGTGAATTACAAGGGACATTATCGCCTTTTATTACAAGTCTCACAAATCTAGAAACGTTGTAAGTATATAAATACTCACTATAAGCTTTATCACTTGTACCAAACTAGAAAATGAAGAGCCTTTTCAGAGAAATGAGTACAAATATAATGTTTTTTTTAAAAAAAAATAAAAAAAAATTGTACATGTTGTACCTTGTTGTTTCACAAATTTAGTGAGTTAATAACTTTGATGGTCACTCAACTATCAACTTTTTTCACAGAAAGTTACTCAACTTTCATTCTTAACTCAAAAGTCACTTAACTATGGCTTATTTGTACAGAAAGTCACTCAACATATTTAATTATTTTTTTCACTAAAATTTTTGACATGAAATTTTATTTTTAACCAAAATTTTAAGAACCAAATATATATCCATCTAATGACCCGACCCGCTAAAAATATTATATTGAAAATTTTATTTTACCATTAATTCCCTAAATCATTCTCTTGTTTCCTTCTTTCTCCGGAGCGTTCTTCTTTTCTTTTCTTTTCCTTTTTAATTTCTCAATTTCAAAAGAGCAAAAGCAGGACATCTTGCAATCCTCTTATAATGTATAGCAATTTAAAAAAGTTTTGCCGTCTTAGAAATTTCCATTGAAATCGTAACCTAAGAGATTGTTGTAATTTTTATTGTTTTTGAAGTTGGGAAAACAATAATTTGATCCTTAGGGATAACAGAGGGGTTATGGAAACTACAAAAAATAAAAAAACAGAGAGGTTGATATATTATTGATATGTGAAGAAAAGGTTGAAGAAGAAGAACGCTTAGGAGAAAGAAGGAGACAAGAGAGAATGATTTAGGGAATTAATGGTGAAATATAATTTTCAATATAATATTTTTAGCGGGTCGGGTTAAATTGGGCAGGTGATTAAATGAATATATATTTGGTTCTTAAAATTTTGCTTAAAAGTAAAATTCCATGTCAGAAATTTTTAGTGAAAAAATAATTAAATATATTGAGTGACTTTTTGTGCAAAAAAGCTTAGTTGAGTGACTTTTAAGTTGAAAATGAAAGTTGAGTGACTTTTTATGAAAATAGTTAATAGTTGAGTGACCATCAAAGTTATTAACTCCAAATTTAGTAGACCCAAATCATACGTTTTTGGGTGGAACAAATTTTGAATCCTTCAATTTGTGAAACAAAAAGAAGTCTCGATAATAAAATAAATAAAATTTTCGGTTATTAGTATTTTTATGAGATTCTTTTGTTTCTGTTGAAGGAACTTGTCAAACAATCAGCTGACGGGAGAGGTGCCTGCCAATCTCTCACGACTAGCCTTCTTACAAGAGCTGTAATTTACTCATTTAGTCTCAATTTATGCTGCACAGTTGCAATTAATATGATTTTTATGACATTATTGTTGTGTTTCTGTTGAAGGGACTTGTCAAACAATCAGCTGACGGGAAAGGTCCCTGCCAATCTCGCACAACTACCCTTCTTAAAAAAGCTGTAATTTACTCACTCATGACCTCTAAGTTTACAATTACTACCTCTGTATCAATTTATGCGGCAAAATTCCAAATATGATTTTAAAATATTTTAAGTTGTTAATTATTTTCATCTA